AATTTCTCCTCCCACATTGTAAGTTGGCTTTTGAGACTCGAACTTTTGCATGTCGAAAGGTTCTCGTCTTGTGGAGTGAATTTTTTCACAACAACTTTGCCGACTTGGGCTGCTGTTAGCCGTAGTCGTAGCCATAGACACAAGGACTTACGCAAAAGAGCGAGCTCTGCCATTTGTATGCAATAATGAACGTGATCTGGAGAACTTGTTTCGAAAATTTCGGGAAACTCCACGTGCCTATGGATTGCAAAATCCTCAGGGCGCAGTCTTTCGACATCGCAATCTTCGTCTCGAATGCGACTTGGAAGTCCTAGGGAGGCTGCACATTGACGGTCGCGGATCTAGAATCGTCAGCGATGGTAAGTTTATTCAGTTGTTCTGGTCTCACGTATAAAGACCACCAAATTCTTTTTCGTAAGCTCAATGCGTTTGAATTCTGGGTCGAAGGACATCTGTGACGACGAAACGATCTGTGGTAACCCCTGGTCTGGGCAAAGCTGATGGCGGACCCTAACCAATGTCTGGTATCTTTGTCATTACTAGCATTAGATCGCCAGAAGCTGATGAGAAATAAGGTCTGCACAATCGCAGTCTTGTTCACCTCCCAATCAGCGTCGTAAAGAATCTTGGCTCTGTGATAGAAATGAAATCTTGCGTCTTGCCTCGAAGCAAAACCTGCTGAGGGAAAGAAGTCGTCGGCAAGGTAGCTCGTGCCAATGAAGAGCATAGCATGTAGAAGCATAGGGGTGAGCTTTTTCGATTTGTATTCTTGGCTGACTTTTGGTATGTCAAGGATAGGAAAGCAAGGATGAAACCACTTGAAGTATGCCTGCAAGATTTTCTTGATGACTTCGTCGTCGGGAAAAACAAATGCACCCTCTCGAGTCAAGTAGTCGAGGGTTCCATTTGTACATTGACTCGAACGACTGGGGTCAGGCAGTGTGCCATCTGAGTTGGGAAGATTGTATGCCAAGTTGGTAGATTCAAGGCTTGAATGGCTCGCAGGTGGTACGGTGTTCCCATCCCTCCTGGCAACAAGGGTAAGGAGGTTTGATTCTCCGATGTACACTGTTTCGTCGTTGCTCGGCGATGTCGGCGAACAGCGAGGAGAAGACTTTGCTGAAGGGACTATGGTGGAGTGATCATCGAGAGCAGCGTCTTGGAGATCCAGTTGCTGAGAAGGGTCACAGCTGGGGTTGGAGGTAGTGGTGGATGGCTCATTCTGCTGCAATGAGGCCAGTTGTTGATCATCATATGCCCATTGATTCCAATGTTTCTCTTGGATATTGTCGTTACTATGAACTGCGGAAAGATCTTGGGCCAACAAGGCCATTTTGCTAAGAAGCACGTCAGCCTTATATGGAACACAACATGATTTTAGGGGTGATCCCCACCGTTCTCGATTCGCTTCTCTTTTGGATTTGGCCAGTTCGCAAGGCACACCTACGATGCGACAATTGTGACAGGGCTTAGTTTCCATCACATTGCATCGAACTCGACGTGCATGGCAATTCTGGCATGCCTTTTTAGCTCGTGGGAGATGCCGAGCAGACTTCCCACGATTTGTGCTCATGATTGCGACTCTCGAAAGGAGGACATGGGAAATCAGAGGCAATATAAAGGGGGCCTTGGGGCAATTGAAAGGCGTCACATGGATATAGATGCCGAGGAGTCTTTCACATCTGGAATGCTCTACCTCGATGCTGCGCTACCAGGTTCATGGCCTGATTTCTCGTCCTAGGTGAACAACAGCATGTCCAACAAAGCTGGCGTGTTATGAGATGACCGGCGTTTTTGGCACAATTATGGGATAGGATGAGTAAGAGAAGGACATCACGAACCGCCAAGACGGGGTTTAGATGGGGAAGGAAGTTTAGTTCTTTCGCCCTTTACAATAATACTCCGTAGGTGAATGGGTGTCAGTCCCCGTATATTGCTGTCAGATCCCCACCCAACAAAATTGGAGAGCTATTACACCTTCAATGTGGCTCAATAAACGTCATACATGCAATTGTGCGTTGCAAAACTCATACGAGTGTTTTGAAGAGTCCAGAAGTCCATGACATAAGACTGCCTCAGCTCGAATCTGCTGGATGTCATATTCGATCTTTGAGATTCGAGGCATCGAGGCAGCGATCCTAGCATCGTAGAAACTTGAATTGTTCATCCAGGATCGGCGCCAAACACCATATGTCACTCGCCATTGGAGCCTGAAAATGCCCTATATGGCAAACTCCGTCCAGTTACCCGAGAGTTCAACCTCGGACAAAAGGTCGGCTGTTTGTGATGCAAAATGCCAAGTAATTGCGGCTTTGCGGCTTTGGGTCTCTGCGCCCGGCCGAAGGAGTTCTGAGAAGGAATACTCCGTAGGTGAGAGAACAAACAGATTCAGTTAGACTGATGAGGTTGCAAAGGCAGGACCAGATTGTCACGTGCGATGATCACGTGTGTTTGACATGTAATGTTATTAGGCCGACAGTCAGGAATGTCAGACGGAGAGTGGGTTTTTATTATTAGACTGACTCACTGAGATCCTTTGTTTGGGAAGTGAAGTGACATCGTCTTCAACTTGGCTTCAGACTTGAACCTTCTTTCCGTAAGTGGGAGTTGGTCGGCTTATATTGGTTCCACTTACCCATGGAACTCAGGCAACGCATTGCAAAGATCGTAGAAGGAGGAAACATGTAGGGCACCTGCCAGAAGCATGCTGTTGTTGTTATCAAAGGACGAGAGACTTGACGATGCCCCTGGGCCATATGGTCAAGCATTTCGCCAAGTGCGTGGAGGCTGCATGGCCTGACCGCTAACGAGTCGACAGTAGGAGAACTTGTGCTCTACTACTGTCGGCTGATAAACGTGGAATACCAAACTACCAACACTTTTGAAGATTCGAAATTGTCAGGTGGAGCCTGAATTTGGAGCAAGTGGGTTTCGTGACGGGGGGTTTCTTGTCGCCTTCGGATCAAAGCGGCTGGTGGACACTGAAAGTGGCAATTCTGCAAGTATCAATACACCACGTGGAATTGGAAGGTGTCTGGCATGAGATGTTCGGCAGTACGGCACCTGGTTGTCAAGTTGGCAAAGCACGATTGCAGGACGCCTGCATCGGATTGGGGTTGTCTGATGTGGGAAGTGGCGGACTGATGGATTTGGTGGCACGGACTTGACACACAATACAACGAATCGAGCACTCGGACCCTACACATCCGACATCCAACGCATACTCGTACTGTTCAGCCGTTGTTGATCCTGGATCATGGCCATATGACCTCTCTGCCACTGCATCAATGTCGTCGACAAGGATTGGAAGATGAATTCCCCTCAAAACTTGGCAGGGCGCCATGAGAGGAAATTGGTGCAGGAGCTGCATGGACACAAGGAAAGAGTCAAGCAACGATGATACGCTCCTAAGCATTCTGGGGAAAGATCAAGCACCATGGATTGACGGATGATCCCTTTACTGCTTCCAGACCAGCGCACGGTGATGGGGATGATATCTTGGACAAGTTTAGAAAACCAATAACGCAATAGATTGATGCGAGCAGGAGATATCAAAAAGGCCACGAGGCTCGCTTGATGAGCAAAAGCTATTGAACAAAGGACGCTAGCTCCACGCCAGGCAGGCGGGACTTGCTTGGCAAAAGGTTGGCGTCGTTGGTTATCAGTGGAGACCCTCACTAGAAGTTGGGAAATGCCGGAATGTCTGGCAGCAGCAAGTGCGCCCACAACCCCTAAAAGGCGCCCCGGCCTTGGCACGCTCCATCTAACCAATCATCGCATGCAGGCTTATCTTGATCCTCAGAGGTGTCAACGACCTCCAATTCAAATCAGTCATTCTACCACCAACCACACACCCAACACTCTTCAATCCATGGCCTGACGGCTGCGAACTGATGTGATCACTTGCAACTTTTTGGGGGCAGGGTCAATCTGTGCGCTCGCATCTCGCGTCGAGCCCTGGCCAGAGCCAGGGCCAGGCGGCATGATTCTGGGTAACGGGAAAGCAGTTGGATCTCGATCGTACGGACGGGCAGTGACGGGTCACTGAAAGTGCATCATGGCCTGTCAGAGGTCGTGAAGGATGAGAGCCAGGCGAGTATTTAGAGGAGAGAATGTCATCTAGCATCATGAACAAGCGAGAATCGATCTTGGCCTTTTTCTAGACGCTCTGTGTAACTGGCTAGGCGTTCGCCGGGAGGTCGAGGGGGCCCCTCGGCCTGGGGTAAGAGTACAAACGGGGCATTTAGGATTACCAAGGGCGCCTGATAATTGAACAAAGGGAATGGGATGCAGTAACCATAATAATGACAGCCAAGTGATGGATTCCCAGGCGTGCCAGTTCGGGTCTCCGCCCAGCCCCGGGTGAGTGACTGAGGGACGAACTACAGGTGGGGGAAAGTTGTGTGATTGTTTATGGTTGTTCTACTTACTGTGCTGTAGTTTAGGGCTGACGAACTGTGCGACAGTGCAACCCAGAAACACCAAGAGTTTGGTAGGTAGTAGTGTACTGGGTGAGAAGCCCGGAAGCCATCAATGGCATGAAAATCCATCAAAGTCATGCCTTTATTGATCCGGGTGGACACTTTTTTAGTCGTACTGTACTCCGTACTTCTTCTCACTCTGGGTCCCTGCGCCTTGGATCTCAGTAACTTTCTGACTTCGGGGTCCCGCGCGACGATCACACAGCCCAAACAAAAGCCTTGACGCCTTGACGCTCACGCCATCTTCAAGGATCGGAGGAATGTCCATTAAAATGTTCCGTGGCTAAGTGGGTTTTCGAAGCCTGCCCGTGCCTGTAAAGCTTACTCTCACTACCCATCACCACCCTAGTTGCAGCCCGCAGCCCGCAGCCTGCAGCCACCTTTCGTGAAACTTCACCCACACTAACTAGTCCCCTCTCGACATACCCTGTCAGGGCACCAGGGGCCTTTGGAACCTCGCAGTCTTTTTTCATTTCCTTTGCATCTGACAAAGCCCATGCTCACGGCTCCATTAGATGAGTCCACACATGTTGATGGTGGGTCTACATAACCATGGCCACCCTCGGGTCGTTGTGATGACTCGAGTCTTCTTATTTTCTTTTGCTCGACCATCTCCATCCCACTCGACTCCTTTCACTCTCTTGGCTTGTTGCCTCCCTTAAAGAGTCTCTGATCCTCCTCTGGGTAGTCCGACCGCGTTCAGCATCGACGCTGTACTGCTCGCCTCCAGTCCACTTCGTCCTCTGCACCACCCTCACCCTTTACGATCCTTCTTGCAGCCACTCGCACCGCGAGTCACTAAGTCAACATGTCCGACTCTACGGATTCCCTTCCTTATGTGCCACTGCTGCCATATGAAGGTACGTGTCAAACTCCTGTTCCGCTACCACGGACCAAGACCAAGACGCCAAGCTGATCGTAGTCAGGTACCGAGGCGACTGGTGGAGACTCTCGTGTTGTGGATCTCAACCTCTACTACAATGCTGGTGACATTGCCTGGATGATCACTGCAACAGCCCTGGTGCTGTTGATGATTCCCGGTGTTGGGTATGCTTTCACTGTCTATATCACAAATGTCGCAAGACCGCAGTCCTAACCCCCTTGCGCAGTTTCTTCTACTCAGGCCTCGCAAGACGCAAGTCCGCCCTGTCACTCATTTGGCTCTCCATTGCCGCTACCGGCCTCATTTCCTTCCAATGGTTTTTCTGGGGCTACTCCCTGGCATTCTCTAAGACGGCCGGCAAATTCATCGGCAACCTGAGCAACATTGGCTTCCGCAATGTTCTCGGTGCTCCCTCGGTCGGATCTTCCAAGATCCCAGATCTCATGTTTGCCGTTTACCAGGGCATGTTCGCCGCCATCACCGTTGCCCTCGCCATCGGTGCTGCCGCTGAGCGTGGCCGCGTTTTGCCCGCCATGGTCTTCTCCTTCGTCTGGTCCACGATTGTCTACGATCCTATTGCATGCTGGACATGGAACAGCTCTGGCTGGGCTTTCAACATGGGTGGTCTCGATTTTGCCGGTGGCACCCCAGTCCATATCGCCTCCGGCACGGCAGCTTTGGCATATTCTCTGATGCTTGGAAAACGTCGTGGCCACGGTACACACGAGTTGAACTACCGTCCTCACAATGTCACCCATATCGTCCTTGGAACGGTCTTTCTGTGGGTTGGGTAAGTAGTCGAACCCATGCTCTTGCTCATCTTTGTACTGACTCGTCTACTAGATGGTTTGGCTTCAATGCTGGCAGCGCCCTTTCGGCCAATCTCCGAGCGGTCATGGCTGCTGTTGTGACCAACATTGCTGCTAGCGTCGGTGGCATGACCTGGTGTATTCTCGACTACAGGCTCGAGCGCAAATGGTCCACTGTTGGTTTCTGCAGTGGTGTCATTTCCGGTTTGGTTGCCATCACTCCTGGTTCCGGCTTCGTCCCAGCGTGGGCGGCTGTCATCTTTGGAGTGGTCGGAGGCATCGCCTGCAATTATGCCACCAAGCTCAAGTTTTTGCTTCACATTGACGATGCGCTCGACATTTATGCCATCCACGGAGTTGGCGGATTAGTGGGCGATCTCCTGACCGGCTTGTTCGCCGCTGATTACATAGCTGCCCTTGATGGCGCTACTGAGATTGATGGCGGTTGGATCAACAGGCACTGGATCCAGCTCGCATATCAGCTCGCAGATGGCACCAGCGGTATGGCTTATTCTTTCGTCCTCAGCTGCATCATTCTTTTCGTCATCAACTGGATTCCTGGCCTACATCTTCGAGCATCCGAGCAAGAGGAAATCTTGGGTATGGATGACATTGAACACGGCGAGGTAAGCTTTTACTCTACTCCAACATCAACCTGCCAACATGTACTGACATTTTCTTAGTATGCTTATGATTACGTCGAGTTGACGCGTGATGTCACCAATGGATTGGAACTCGAGGCTGCTAGCGGCACACCTGCTCGCGAAAGCCCCAGCTCTGACGAAGATCCCAAAGAGAAGATTGAACCCGCGGCGTCTTCGGCTTAATTTTGGTATACCCGCATGATCCGACAGGGACACCCGATCAGCTTCGATTAAAAAGTCATGGTTGGATTATTTTCGAAGCATGGTAGCTGGTTCTCCTGTTTCCTGAACTGACCGATACCCCCTTTTCACCCATATACTTGAATAATACTCAAATACAACCCCAGTCCACCTAGTTAATGGCCTCACAATCAAAGCATGATCCTGATCCTGAATTGGTTGCTATGAATTATTGGGTTATGAATTATCATGGATGTGAGGGTTACTTTAATCACAAAAATGCCATTTTCGACAGGCAACCAACGTACGCAGTCCATACTGTAAATTTGATCATAATATTATGATGCCTGGCAAGACCAATTGTACATACTATGTACCTATGTACCTTTTTCGGTAACAGATTCGTCACGTGGCAATTCTGATTCACGTGATGAAGCATTCAAGGCCAACCAGGTTCATGTATTCTAATTTATCTTCCCGTTCTCTCAGCCTTTGTTTTATCTTCGTTGTCATTTCTAATATCAGTGATAGACCACTCGACCTAACTCTTTCAAAGCCCTTTACCAAGGCAAATACTGGCCTCCTGTGGATTGGAATTTACCCGTCTGGCCATTTGGATCGTCATCCACTATCAACTGGACAGATTCAATGATACCTTGATCAGCAGGCATAGCGGCTGCGGCATAGCCGGTGAGATTGGTCTGGCAGTAACCAGGGTTGATGGCATTGACCTTGAAGCCCTCCTTGCCGAGTTGAACCGCATAGAAAACAGCAATCATGTTCATAGCGGCCTTGGATGCCATATATGCCTTGTTATCGATGATGCCATAGTAGGGAAAACTCGGGTCGATGTTCAAGCTGATGGACCCCAGACCTGAACTCATGAACAAGATCCGTGGCACCTTGGCCTTCCTCAATAGTGGCAAAAACGCATCTGTCACAAGGGCTGCGCTGACTGTGTTGACGTCGAGAACTTTGAGGAATTCCTCTCGAGGACTACCAGTCACATTGCCGATTCCTGCATTGTTGAACAGGACATCCAGACGTCCATACTCTGCCGTCACGGTTTCGACTGCAGCTGCGATCGAAGAGTCCGAATCAACGGTAATCTGGATCGGTTTGATCACCGTGCCGGGTTGGATCTTGGTGATGCTTTCAGCCGCCTTGATGCCGTTACTGATATTTCTTGAACCAAGGAGGATGGTGTTGTTGGGATGCTCCGCCGCCAACTTCTTGACCGCTTCATATCCAAGACCCTGGTTTGCTCCTGTGATGAGGACGATTCTCTGCTCTGTTGACGCCATTTGATGGTCCTCGACGTGGATCTTTCTAGTTTATATCGCTGACTTTTCGTCTTGTTATTGCAAAATACCTTCGTGCTCTGGAGGACTTGGTTGCAACGACATTGACCACCATTGCTGGCGAACCACTCCATAATATATATATATATACTTCGTTTATACAGTCTGTGCAGGCACCATCATCGGAGTTACCATGTCTTCCCTTCTCGAGCCCCCGTGAACATCCCCATCCTTTCCCCTTGATGACATATCAAAAGGATGAACAATTGCCCGACTTATCGAGTCAAGAGTTCCTAGCGCATTGGGTTCATCAAGTTCGAGGTCGACTGAGGTGCGTGAAATTGGCAATGTGGGCCTTCTGTCTGGCCAATGCCGCTTTGCTAAACCTATCAAAAACGGCGCTCGTTTTGTAACAAAGGGCGAAGTCCATACCAGTTATAAATGGACTGTGCGCCGCACCACTCAGATCATTCTTCAAAACTTGGCCATTGAAAAGACCCACAACGTTCGATTGATGAAACTCGCATACGGAGTCTAGTATGCGAGATCTCCCTCGCCTGCAGCTACCGGCTAGATTCCGAAATCACCAATCAACAACCTCCGGCGTTAAACGGGGCTGGGAATGGTTATCCCCAGTCGCTACAAAACTTCAACTTCAATTTGGCGTCATGGACAAATGTTCGTCCGTCGCGCTCCATATATGCATTCTATGGTCAGAAAGCTCGATTTTTCTGACCACGCTCTCGGTCGGTCGATGCTTGATTGGTTGTAGAAGAATTCGGCAGCCTGATCAACATAGGGAGGAATGAATGGCCCTTTGTGACTCTCAATCAGGCTACATCGTAGATGACGATGATACGAACACGAACACGACGGACGAAACGGAGTACTGGCTGCATCACTTGCAAGTACGTAACGCGACTTCATGAAGCCCTTGCATAGCTTCTTTCAGCTGAACAGCCATCCCTTTTTTGGGGTACTACAACGACAGTGTCATACTCGATATCGGATCCATCTTCTCCGATCTCGAACTTCAAACCTGGGAGTTTGAACAGCAGGTCACACCATTACATTTCCGGTTTCCACTACCGATTGAAAATGAAGAATGGGTTAATGTACAGTATATGCTGCATGGACAAACGGATCTCTTCTTTACCAGTCTAGACCACGCGGCTGAGGAGTTGCAAGTATTGGCCAGAGATTGTTTCACGTCGGTGATGGACGACAAGGACAAGCACCACTATCTCAATCACCCACCACGCAGCAAATTCCACACCGCGGGCCCCCTGACCACCAGACTCAACAATTGGCTACGACTCTTCGTCACCTTTAACTCCCAAATCTCTCCATCCCAAGGCCCCTGCCGCGCCAAAATGATCGACTTCTACATCCTTCGCATGTACCATTTAAGTCTGTACATCATCTCACGCTGTTCTCCCTTCCACCAAGAAATGGCGTATGATTGGTACGGCAGTGAATTTGAAACCATTGTTGTCTCCTGTACGATTTTACAAGCCAATATGATTAACGACATGATTGAGATGCATGATGGCATGGTCTCTGCGACTAGAAAACTCATCCCCATGTTCTGGTCTGTGGCGACGAAGTATCGTAATGTGAGTGTGAGACGACAAGCGGTGGAGGGGTTGAGGAAGTGTGGTCATGATGGGGTTTTGTTGGCGACTATTGCGACGAGGGTGGTGCGACTAGAAGAGAAGGGTTTGTTGGTACCGGTGGTTTGTTCTGATGTGCCGCAGCGGAGTCGTGTTGTTCTCGAGGATTTGATTCTTGATCCTGAGTCGGGTGCGTATGTGCTTACGTTTCAGAGATTTCCTTTTCATGATGTAACGTGTGGGGGGTTCGTTACTTTCAAGTCGCTTACATCGCATTGGAAGACTGATGCTGTAGTTTCACATCATATTGTGAGTTTCCTCCTTTTGCGTTGACGACTTGATGCCAGAGCTGACAATGTCTTGAAGGAGAAATTGTTCCAGGGAGTTCAACCATTCGAATTTATGTCGTCGTGGTATCAAGAGAGTGCCGGGTGAAGACTTGGCACCAGACAAGCCAGGCTGATAACAATGCTGCAAACTCAGGGCATATCATGTCTCTCATCGAGATCCTCTATATATGCATGAGGGAGCACCAAGACCAAACCTATCCTTTATGCACCACCGCCCATCTCTAATTTCTTTCCCTTGACCGTTTTCCATTCGAATCCGAGTGACAACACAAAGGCGATTCCACCACACGCTATGGACAAGATGAACGCTGTGGTGACAGCAATGTTATATGACAATAGGACACCAGCAAGCTCACTCGGCGGCGTAACTGCCTTAATGTTCGTCGCCCCAGCCATGATTATAGTCCAAGGATCCACTCCGGTTGTGTGTCGTGGGATTTCCTTGATCAAAGTATTGGAAAAGATATTTTGTGCAATGGAAATGGACACCGCTCCACCGAGGGAATTGAAGAAGATGGCCACAGCGTTGCCCACGGGCATATCCTTCTTGCTCAATACAACCTGTACGGCAATGAAAGGAATTTGAATGCAGGACCCGGCACCGACTCCCGCGACGAGTTGATACCCAATCCATGTTGCAGTGGAAGAATCTGGCTTCAGAGAGTATAGCAGTCCTGCGCCGACGGTGAATATAGCGGAACCGACCCAGGTGAATGGAACATAGGGCCCCAAAGCAGTGATGCTACCGCCGACGACGATGGACGCCAGAGTAATGCTGACCAAATACGGTATTGTTCGAATTCCTGATTGTTCGGCAGTGGTTCCTTTCACGGCCTGGAAATAAAATGGCAAGTAGAAGATGTGTGCATACAAAGCCATGGCCAGAAACGCCGAAAAGAATGCGCAGACAAAGACCGTACGTTGTCGTAAGAGAATCCTTGGAGGCAGCGTCGCGAGATCGCCTTTCCATAATTGAATGGCGGTAAATGTGGCCATGAGTAGGGCAAATCCGAGGATACAGCCCCATACCCTAGAATTGGACCATGGGTGGGTAGTGCCACCCCATTGCAAGGCAAGAAGCAGGCAGACAATGGAGGTAATCAAGAAAAAGGCACCCAGAAGGTCGAGATGGGCGATTTTCTCCTTGAGCGTGAGGTTGGAATGCTTTCTCTTTGGATTGTGGAAGAAAAAGAAGACAACGGTGATAGCGATGGCACCAATAGGAAGATTAATGTAGAAGCACCAGCGCCAGGAGATGCCTGAAGCAATGGCGTAGGTCAGTCAATGGGCTCGCAGCAAACATACATTATTGAGGGGACTTACGATCAGTAAAGGCGCCCCCGAGGATAGGTCCGACAACAGAAGCCACTCCGAACATAGAACTCAAGAGACCTACGTAGATGGGCCGTTTCCTCAAAGGCACGGAATAGCCAATGATAATCATACTGCCAGAGAATAAAGCCGCAGCACCGACACCCGCAACCGCACGTCCGACAATCAACATCTCTGAGTTGACGGCTGCGCCACACAGAACAGAACCCACCTCGAAGATCAGGAGGGCCAGCATAAAGGTCCACTTGATGTTGAAATAGGTATAGACTTTGCCGAAAGAAGGTTGTAGGGAAGTAGTGGTCAATAGATATGAGGACCCGTACCAGCCGACGTCATCGAGAGAGTTGAAGACAGTGGTGATGCGAGGGATGGCAGTGGCAATGATGGTATTGTCGAGAGCAATGACGAAGGTTGACATGGTGAGGCCAAGAGTCAGTAGATGTAAAGGCAATCCACGGATATATTTCGTTTCGTCGTCTTCGCCAGGGCCCGCATCGGCCTCGGAAGGAGCTGTAGTTGTTGATGTGGTCTGGGCTAAAGGCTCTAGTTTTTCCGGGCCATCAGTTATTGGTTCCTTTTCTGTCGATGGAGGATCAGTCATGTTTGTGGGCGTATTTGGCTCATGTGATGGTTTTGTCAATGGCGATTCTGAAGTCTGCAGTTTTTCTGGATCAGAGCCTTGTCTAGTGGCAGGGGATTCTTGAAGCGATTCCCGAGAGTCAGGTGTGGCGTTCACACTAGATGGAGATTCACTTCCGCTTGGATCTGGTTGTTTCGACCATGGAAACTTCATCTTGATGAATTGGTGAAGAGACCTTTCTCTTGAATTGACCGTATGGTCGAGGAGGGGCTTCTTCTAGCAGTGATACTAGCGTCGTCAAATCGCAGAGTA